CCCGCATAACAAGTTAATTGAACTTTATAAATATGGAAAAGGATATAAAAAGATACCCAAAGCCTTGAAAATGCCAGTCAGTACTGTTCAATCACTTATTAAGAAGAATTCGGGGATATCTTGATACCAAGCCAAGTTCAGGTAGACCAAGAAAGATTTCAGCCACAACTGCCAAAAGAATTGTCTGGGATAGAAAGAAAATCCACAGGTAATCTCAGGAGAAATACAGGCTGCTCTGGAAAAAGACAGTGTGGTTGTGTTTAAGGAGCACAATACGACGATACTTGAACAAAAATTAGCTGCATAGTCAAGTTGCCAGAAAAAAAGCCTTTACTGCGCCAAGGCCACAAAAAAGCCCGGTTACAATATGCTCGACAACACCTCGACACACTTTACAGCTTCTGGCACACTGTAATGTGAAGTGATGAGCCCAAAATAGAGATTTATGGTAACAACAATAAGCACTTTGTATGGAGGGGTCAACATTGTTTGGAGGGGCCTATAGTGAAAAGAATACCATCCCCACTGTAAAGCATGGTGGCTGCTCACTGATGTTTTGGGGGGTGTGTGAGCTCTAAAGGCACGGGGAATCTTATGAAAATTGATGGCAAGATGAATGCAGCATGTTATCAGAAAATACTGACAGACAATTTGCATTCTTCTGCATGAAGGCTGCACATGGAACGCTCGTGGACTTTCCAGCATGACAATGACCCTAAGCCCAAGGCCACGTTGGCCCTCCAGTGGTTACAGCAGAAAAAAAGGTGAAGTTTCAGGAGTGGCCATCACAGTCTGCTGACCTTAATATCATCGAGCAACTCTAGGGAGATCTCAAACGTGCAGTTCATGCAAGACGACCAAAGATTTTGCATGACATGGAGGCATTTTTCAAAATAAATAGGAAGCTATACCACCTGCAAAAATTAGGGGCCTCATAGACCACTATTACAAAAGACTGCATGCTGTCATTGATGCTAAAGGGGGCAATAAACAGTATTAAAGGAACAATATAGTCACCTAAATTACTTTAGCTAAATAAAGCAGTTTTAGTGTATCGATCATTCCCCTGCAATTTTACTGCTCAATTCACTGTCATTTAGGAGTTAAATCACTTTGTTTCTGTTTATGCAGCCCTAGCCACACCTCCCCTGGCTATGATTGACAGAGCCTGCATAAAAAAAAAAACAAAAAAAACTGGTTTCACTTTCAAACAGATGTAATTTACCTTAAATAATTGTATATCAATCTCTAAATTGAACTTTAATCACATACAGGAGGCTCTGGCAGGGTCTAGCAAGCTATTAACATAGCAGGAGATACGAAAAAATCTAAATTAAACAGAACTTGCAATAAAGAAAGCCTAAATAGGGCTCTCTTTACCGGAAGTCTTTATGGAAGGCTATGCAAGTCGCATGCAGGGAGGTGTGACTAGGGTTCATAAACAAAGGTATTTAACTCCTAAATGGCAGAGGATTGAGCAGTGAGGCTGCAGGGGCATGTTCTATACACCAAAACTGCTTCATTAAGCTAAAGTTGTTCAGGTGACTATAGTGTCCCTTTAAGCTAAAGTTGTTCAGGTGACTACAGTGTCCCTTTAAGAACAAAGGGTATGCAGACTTTTGAACAGAGGTCATTTCATTTATTTCTTTGTGGCCATGTTTTGATTTATGATTTTGTCATTCTGTTATAACCTACAGTTGAATATGAATCCCATAAGAAATAAACGAAATGTGTTTAGCCTGCTCACTCATGTTTTCTTTAACCCCTTAAGGACACATGACATGTGTGACATGTCATGATTCCCTTTTATTCCAGAAGTTTGACCCTTAAGGGGTTAAAAATGATACATATATTACCAATTCTCCATGCAAATGTTTGAGCACAACTATATTTCTCTAGTGTTACATTGACTTTTATCCAACTTAACATGCTTTTATTTTGATAAAATAGAGATAAAATATAAAATCTGTCACATATTTATTAAAAAAATTTTTTTTGCCTTTTTAGACTCTCTTCCAGTTTGCATTATTTGCTATATGTAAAGTGCTATTGAGCGTATTCATCAACAACTTTGTAATTAGCAGTAGATTCTGTATTGACTTCTGTAACGGATCACCTGGCACCCCGACTGGGTACCTCCGTTGAAGGATGCTCCTAGCACTTCCTGAGGACTCCAAGCACTGCAGCAGACACCAAAACCACCGCACCGTAGGAGCATATGAATGCTCTCAAGCATATGAATGTTGTATACAGCTGAATAGGAAAAACCATGCGAATAGGTTTACACTCCTAGCAGTCAAACTGGAACAGCATACAATAAATCCTCCCCCAATAATGAGACGACACTTCACTTTGAGGGTTAAGCAGGAACTCTCTGGACTGGCACATACAGCCTCTTTTATTCCCAATCCACAAACTTAGTACTGCCCACAGGGTTTTACAGAACAACCAATAACACGTACAATACACTCAGACACTCCCACACAAAATCCTCCCCTCTGCCTGTGATACAATTACCTTACACAAAGGGTAATCTAATTATCACAGACAGAGAAATACAGGTTCATAAAACACATCACATGGACCCCAAAACATGCAATAACCCCATATCCTTGGAACCGGGGGATCTGGGTGAACCACATATCCAAAATTCACCCAGATCCGTTCAGTACTTTGGAAGATACAGTTTAATGCAGATTTTACAGAACATATGCAGGCTATATGAAAACCAATTACTGTATAAGGTGTCCCCTGTTGTATAGTCCAAAACCACTGCACGATGTCTCTGTGCACCAAATACCGGCGAGATGGCAGTGTTGAAAAGTCCAAACAGTGTCTGTGAGTTAAAATGGCCGCCATCCATTGTTCTCAACATGTGCTTCATCCATTGTTCTCACCATGTGCCTCTGATACAGGGAATGGTGGCCACCCAGTAACTCCACAGTATGTCCCCAGATGGTTCTTAAAGGGCCAGCAGCAGCACAACACAAATCCATTATGCCCAAATCATGTCTTTAAAGGGCAATACATCCCAGGGGCCATAGTCACATGGCAGGAGGCTGGCAATCAGTCTTCTCCAATGCCCAGTGGCGAGGTCGGTTTCACCACAACTTCCCAGGATTTTTTTATATTTTACTTATGCCTATTAAAGGGATACTCTAAGCACCAAAATAACGTTTGCTTAATTAAAGTAGTTTTGGTGTATAGCTCATTCTCCTGTAGTTTAGCCGTTCAATTCACTGTTATTTAGGAGTGGAATCACTTTGTTTATGCAGCCCTAGCCACATATGCCACAAATTATAGGAGATTTTCATGTTTCATTCCATTGCATAAAATCTAGAGAAGGCCACTGCATATGGTTGCATTTGGAACTAAAAATAATTATCTAGACATTCAGATGTTTCTAAACAGTTAAACAGCACGGCTTGACTTTGAGATTTCACAGCACTGGTTTACTATGCTAACTCTTTCTTTATCTCTGTTTCACAGGAGAATATCTCAGGTGTGTTTAACAAGAGGTGTGCAATCAGTTACACGTCATATCGAAATGTGTTTCCAATTTGGACACTAGGTCGTTTCTCTAGGCTACATCCAGATAGCCCATTGGCAAGAGTACTCAAGAACTGACTCTGAACAGGCCTATACATTAATTAATTTCAGCATTTGCCAATTTAAGCCACCATTATGACTCTGATTTGGCCATTCCCATCTCATCAATATTTAAAGGGATATTCTAAGCTTCACAACGATTACCGATTTAAAAAAAAAATTTTTTTAGTTGGTTATGTTGCAAATAGTCTTTTGCTGCAGTATTTGTCAAGTCTTTTTCAAGCAGCAGAGAGACAAGGCTTTTCTATGATCATCTCTTATATCTGCTGTTATGTCGACTTGTGGCACTGTACTAACTAACGCAGTGACATTACCTCTACCACTATATATATATACAAGTGTATATATAATACAGATTAAGGAACAGCGCGCACATAAATATACCCAAAGAGTAAGCACACCAAAGACAGGGTTGCCACCTTAGAGCCCCCCTACGAGGCGTCTGGCCGTGTGCTAAGGCATAGTAGGAACTTGCTTACCCAGGCGGCAGGTGCCTACTCTGCCCAAATATGCCCATGGGGAGAATGGAGGCATAGAGGATGCTCTAATCTTCATTATCTTCCAGCACTGCTCCTTCGCATGTCCTGCATTGATCTGGGTTATGACATCACTCCAGTCCCAGGATCAGTAAACGGTGCGCGAGGCAGCAGTGCTGGAAGAGCGCAAATATTACACAAGCCCCAAATGGGACCACAGGGACAGGATCCACTCTAGCTCTGCCAAAGCTATAGCTGCCAGAGGTGACACACATCTATGTAAACAAACCAATAATTAAAGCAGAGAACTGCACTTCATGGATAAGTGCCAACAGAGATGAAATGTTTGATATGTTTCTATTGGTACATCTATTCGTACTGGAAGTTCAAAGTTTTTTTTTTTTTTAAATATTTTTAATATTGTTGATATCTGCAAAATGACTTGCTAGTTTACAAACTAGAGTCCTGTGTTGAACATGTCATTAGTTCAAGTCTCCAGCTGCAACTCTGGACTTGTATTTCACAGGATCAGACCTGTTTGCCTTGTGCTATGTTTTTGTTGTGGCAGCTTTCAAAAAGCAGAAAAAAAAAAAAAAAATTTGCTGGAATAAACTCACCATTTAATCCATAATAGTTTACTATTTCTAACAGTCATATGGGATTATTTTTATACTTTTATATAATATTTTTAATAGACATTTATATCCTATTTATTTTGCTGAATGCCTTTATTGATGTTGAAAATTCGAACACCATAATTTGCACATTAAAGTGATACTATAGTCACCCAGATCACTTCATCTTAATGAAGCGGTCTTGGTGTGGTATCCCTGTCCCTTTTAATCTGCAATGTAAAACACTACAGGTTTTGAGAGGGTTAAGTCTATCTCTAGTGGCTGTTAGTATTACTGACGAAGTAAAACTAAGTTACATGATACAGATGCCCAGTAGGAAAGTATTCATTCTATGAGCATTGAAATGGACATTGGCAGAGGAGGCCTTATATCGCGGGAACCTCAGCACTGGGGGAAAAAAGTAAAACTTTTTATTGCAAACTGTGGGGGAGACCTGTTTCGGTCTAGGACAGAGATAGGCAACCTTCGGCACGCCAAATGTTGTGGACTACATTCCCAGTAGTGCTGTTACACCCATAATGCTGACAAAGCATCATGGGAGGTGTAGTCCAAAACATCTGGAGTGGCGAAGGTTGCCTATGCCTGGTGTAGGAACATGGCCACAACAGCATTTGGAATACATGTTTGTTTACTGCCTTTATCAAATCCTCAAATTGCATTTTGAACAATTTAGAAGATGATTTCATTAAAAATTAACATTATCCACAATTAGCAAGCCAAAAATGTTTTTGAACTGAATTTGCACAGAAAATAACTCAGCCCCAATCCCAATAATAATATGTCAGGAGAGGAGTTGTAGAGACAGGGACACTATGTGTTAGAGAATTAATTGGAAGCAATAACTGTATTTTAAAAAATATATTTTATTGAATATAAATGAATATAGACATATAAAAATGTAATAATCCATTAATGTATTATAAAGCAGAGTATGTAGAATTAAATGAATATATGCTTGCAATATAAAGTATTAGTAGATCAAACCCTTCCTGATTGTACAGATAATCTCTCGGTATATGTCTTCTCCAGAGTTGGTCAGTAAGTCTTGTCCAGCAATAGTCAAGCAGGTATACCGTCTTTCCCTGAAAATAAGACCAGGTCTTATAGTAATTATTCCCCGGAAAAATGCACTTGGGCCTATTTCGGGGAAAAACAGTAGCAAGCATGTGCTAGAAAGCAAGTCTACATTTGGGGGAATTCCCCCGAACATAGACCAGTTCACTAGGGCATAAAGTCCTGCTAATCCATGTTCAGGGAAACCTCCCTAAACATAGATAAGTTTACACGTGTATGGAATCCCGCGAATCTATGTTTCCCTGAGAATCTATGTTTTCCGGGGTAGGGCTTATATTACAAGCATCCCCTGAAAAAAGCTAGGGCTTATTTTTAGGGGATGTCTTATTTGCAGGGAAAGAGGGTAAATATAAAAGTATAGCATTTCTAATTACAACCAACATTTATGGGTTAATTATACATCTTTGGGTTAATAACAGGCCTTATGTGAAAATTAAAAGAAAAACATCCTTATCAGTCTATTGTCATGACCTAGACATCTTTAATTTTTAAAAACAACAATACAACAACACAAATCACCCTTATTTACACAACAAGTGTTCGGTGACTTAAAATGAAAAAAATAAACTTAGCTCAATGAAGAACAGCTTCCCAAGGCACCTCTCCCAGCTGATTACCACAATAGGAAATTATGTATATGGAAAAAGTAGGGATGCAGCTGTATAAACTATAAGAAATATATTAACCAAACATAGTGACCGGACCGGAGCTCAGCCACGCTACAATAGAGGTTGGGGAGGGAGAGAGTCCACTGAGGGAGGGAGGGGTGGAGAGACCACTATGGGAGGGTGAGGAGAGACCACGGAGGTAGGGGAAAGGGGGAGGAGAGACCACTAAGGGAGGCAGGGAGTTGGAGGAGGAGGCCACTAATGGAGGGAGGGGTGGGGGAGAGGAGAGACCCACTAAGCGGGGGGGGGGTGGAGGAGCAGAGACCATTAGGGGAGTGAGGGTGAGAAGAGACCACTAAGGGTGGGGGAGAGGAGAGGCCACTTTGGGAGGGGATGCAGATAAGAGACCACTAAGGGGGAGTGGGGAGAGTAGAGAACACTGGAGGGGGAGAAGAGAAACCACTAAAGGGGGGGAGGAGGGGAGAAACCACTAATGGAAAGAGGGGAGAGGAGAGACCACTAACTGGGAAGGGGGAGTGGATGAGGAGCGCTCTAAGGGGGAGGGGAGGGGGAGGAGTGAGCACTAAGGGATAGGGGGGGACCAAGGGATGGGGGAGGTAGGAGAGAACACTAGGATACAGGAGGGGAGAGCTCTAAGGGACGGAAGGGGAGAGCACTAAGGAACAGGAGGGGAGCACACTACAGGAAAGGGGGCGGGGAGCTCACTAAGGCACGGGAGGGTAGAGCTCTAAGGGACGGGAGGGGAGAGTGCTAAGGGACTGGAGGGGAGAGCAGTAAGGGACAAGAGGGGAGAGAGGCTGAGGAAGGGAGGAAAGAGAAGCACAAAAGGGCAGGTAGGACTGGTAGCCCTAATCCTACCCCACAAACTCTCTCTTTCACACCATACACACACACTGTTTACCTATACACACACAGAAACACACCATGCTTCCCTTACACACAGAGAAACACACAATGCATCCCTTGCACATATATATAGAAACACACCATGCATCCCTTACACATACACACAAACACACACACTGCTTCTCTTATACACACACACAAACACACACAGAAACTCAATTCACCCCTTACAGACACTCAATGCACACTTAATGCACCCCTTACAGACACACACACTGCATCCCTTACATACAAAGAAACACACCTTGCATCCCTTACACATACAAACACAGATTCACACAATGCATCCTTTACACACAATCAGAAAAACACAAAACATCCCTTAAACAGAAACACACACTGCTTTCCCTTCATCCCTTAAACAGAAAAACACACTGTATCCACTACACACACACCGCATCACCTACACAAAATGGTATCCCTATACACTACATTCCATTAGTATACACCCCACCAGACCTTGAGCTGTATAATGGGCCCCAAAAAATGGAGCTGCTTCCCGTTCCTCAGGACATTTGTGTGACCACAGTTACAAACAGCCTCCAGAGAGCCTGTTCTACAACAGACCAGTGGAGCCAGACTGCCACAAGAGCCCATCATCATATTCATCTGGCTATAAGTAGGCAATCTAGTATATTATTTGTGGCACTAATCTCTAATTTACCTCACATTAAACACTATAGTCCCTAGAACCACTGCTGCTTAATGTAGTGGTTCTGGTATCTTTAGCCTGTCCCTGCAGGCTTTTTAATGTAAACACACCCTGTGTGCAGCACTGGCATTGCTTCGTATGGCAGATCATATGGGGCATTGTAATTTCAAATGGGTGGGGAGGCAAATTTTTTATTTTGCCTAGGGTGGCAAAAATCCTTGCACCGCCCCTGGTTTACCTGTACAGTTTGTTCACGTTTAAAGATGCGCTCACATTACACTTTTTGGGCCTTGGATTGCTGAGACTATGGTGTCGGGTAACAATTCCTCCGCTGTTTTTACTCCCGTAGGGGAAAGTAGAGTGCCCAACTGGAGGTACTGTGTATCGTGTAGCGATTGGAAAGCGGGAGCTGCCATGCCCGGTTGGAACAGAGGGTTGTTGGTTAGAGGGTGATAATTATATGATTTTGCTATTGCTTGACGAAAAGTCATGATTTTAATAAAGACACGGAGGCGAGTATTTGCATATCCCTTTCTTTACTGTCCACTCCATAGCAGCAAAGAACATTAACAGAATTGAAAGAAAAGGTAGTACATGTCTCACACACAGGCCACGCCCCTTTATGTCCAGTATATTACCCTGGTCCGCCTTTCCATTTCCCTCTTTCTGAAGGTGCTACACGAAAAAAAACGTAAGAACATAACATGTAGGTAACTGTCAACAAAACTTCGGGCTTTCAGTAACCCGCATAACTGTGAGTCCCATGGAAGCAAGTTCATAAATAGGTGATGATGAGCCGTTTCCACTGGATGAGAAGGGTCGTTTCATCCGGGTGTGCCAGTGTGTCTCCGGCTGACTCGTGCAGGTCCAGGTCAGGCTGTGAAAACATAAGCGACAGAAACCCAAAGGTTAAATCGGCTCTGTGTACCTATATCAAGGCCGGAAGAGGCCGAATATACATAATCTCACCTGAGCGTCATGCTAGTGCAATTGCATCTATACGACAAAGAACTACATACAAGTGCAAGAAAATGTCCCACTTACCACTTGTCTGTAGTCGTCCGTCTGCAGACGATGTGGGTAGGAAAATTTGCGGAATAAGATCCTCACATACTTACACAAGTTGGGTGGGACAATACTCGCCTCCGTGTCTTTATTAAAATCATGACTTTTCGTCATGCAATAGCAAAATCATATAATTTTATTACAAGACACGGAGGCTCGTATTTGCAAGTTTAAAGCTGGTCCACCACTGCCGTAAACAGGTGAGTAGTCGGGCGAAAGTAATATTCTCGGAATGTCGACTCTCTAGACCAATCAGCCATCCTCATAAGATCCTCCAGGTGTGCCCCAGGTGTGATAACTGCGGATGCCGAGGCGCTCCTTACTGAATGAGCCCCGAAGATGGAGGTATCGATACCTGCTGAGCCGAGTAGCCACTTCAACCAACGGGATAGGGTAGTGCTTACCACCGGTTTAAAAGGTGGACGGAGTGAAAGGAAGAGCTGGGAAGTAGTCGCCACGTGGTTAGTACGAGTGCGATCCTTGTATTCTCTTAAACACGCCACCGGGCATAGTTCTGGTGTAGATGGGAAAGCCGGGTATGAAACCGATCTAATGGATGTTTTCGTCTATTGATGGTGAACGTTACCCCGTCAGGGGTGTATGATCTAGCGTCGAGGTCCAAGGCCCGGACGTCCGATACTCTCTTGCAAGATATAAGGCAAAGGAGACAAAGTAATTTGGCCGATAATTGGCGTAGGGAGAGATCCAGATTCGGAGGCCAGGCGAGGAGGAAGGACAAAACAGTGGAAACATCCCAAGTGGAGGAGTAGCGGGGCCTGGGTGGTCGGGAAAGTCTGGAGCCCCTTAGGAGTCTACACACTAGTGGGTGTTGACCGGCTGGGTTTCCGTCCAAGCCTTGGTGTGTCGAGGAAATAGCCGATCTGTATAAATTGATAGTTCGGTATGCCTTCCCTTCCTCGAAGAGGTATGTGAGGAAATCCAGAATGAGTGTCACAGGGGCTGAAACGGGATCCACGTTCCTAGCCATGCACCAGCTAGCCCAATTTCTCCAGGCTGACCCATATGCTCGTCGAGTGCCTGGAGCACATGCATCCGCCAAGAGTCGTCGAGTAGAGTCCGAAACACCTCGGATTTCCCAGGGTCCCCTGAAATGCGCCAGGCCAGTAGGCTGAGAGAGGCGTTCCCCAGATGGGTTCCTGAGAAGGTCCTGGAAGGTTGGCAGCAATCTGGGGAGATCCACCGCCATCTCCAATAGCTGTGGGAACCATGATTGCGTCCCCCAGAAAGGGGTGACGAGGACTAGTTCGGCCCGCTGGCGGCGGGTCTGGATGAGGGTGCGGGGGATCATCGAGAATGGGGGAAACGCATATAGTGGGGTTTCTTGCCAGTTCTGCAGGAAGGCGTCCACGGCTTCTGCCACTGGGTCTGGTCTCCAGCTGAAGAAACGCGGGAGCTGGGCGTTGAGTCGAGATGCGAAAAGATCTATAGCAAAAGGACCCCACAGAGATGATATAGTGGAGAACACCTCCACGTCCAATTTCCAGTCGCTGGCGTCCGAGAGATAGTGAGAACTCCAGTCCGCCTGGACATTGTGTAACCCTGGCAAATATTCTGCTTGAACCATCAGGTTCCGTTTCAGACAGAACTCCCAGAAGTCCTTCGCTAATCCGGCTAGGAGCGCCGAATGGGTACCGCCCATGTGATTGATGTACCGCACTGCCGAGACGTTGTCTATGCGGAGGCGGATACATCCATGTGCCCAGGGGCGTACCTAGAGAATTTGGCACCCGGGGCGGATCCTGTGCTTGGCACCCCCCCCCAACCCCCCAAAAAAAAAATCTGTAAAAAATTTTAAAGGTTTTCTTTCTTTTTTTTTTTTACAATTTGTAAACTTTGCAAAACCGCTGTCAGCCCCTCCTACAAAACCCTTGTCCTGCCCAGCCCCTCCTACAAAACCTCTGTCCTGCCCCTTCTACAAATCCTGTACTGCCCCGTCTACAAAACCCCCGCAACCCCCTTCCACAAATCCCCTGCTTATCCCCCCCTTATAAATACTCGTGTCCCAATACAAAACCCCCGCCCCTTCTACAAAATCCCTGCAGCCCCACACACACATTTACAGGCAGACAGTCACACACTCAGTTACAGACAGACAGTCACACACTCAGTTACAGACAGACAGTCACACACTCAGTTACAGACAGACAGTCACACACAGTCACAGGCAGACAGTCACACATACACATTTCCTCCCGGCGGCCAGTTTATCAGCTGTTTGCTTGTGTGAGCTGTACTGGCCGACGGCACCTAACTACCATGGGACAGTACATAGCTCCTCCAGCCAGGGCCGGTGCAAGGATTTTTGCCGCCCTAGGCAAAAGTAAAGTTTGCCGCCCCCCATGTGACATCACAATGCCCCACCCATATGATTTGCCATGTTAACTAACGCCAGTGCTGCAGTGCCGCCGTGTTTACATTAAAAGGCCTGCAGGGACAGGCTATAGACACCAGAACCACTACATTAAGCTGAAGTGGTTCTGGGGACTATAGTGTTTCTTTAATGTGAGGTATTAGATTAGTGCCACGAATAATATACTAGATTGCCTACTTACAACCAGATGAGGATGATGATGGGCTCTAGCTGCAGTCTGGCTCCACTGGTCTGGTGCAGAACAGGCTCTCTGGAGGCGGTTTGTAACTGTGGTCACAAAAATCAATGTTCTGGGAGAACGGGAAGCAGCTCCATTTTTTGGGGGTCCTTTACACAGCTCAAGGTCTGGGTCCCAGGGTCCACCCTCATGTTCCACCAATGAGTTTGTTCACAGGGGTTGGAGTGTGTAGGGGATGTCCTGATATGTGTGTAAGGAATGCATTGTGTGAAATTGTGTTTGTATGTGTAAGGGCTGCAAGGTGTGTTTCTGTGTATGTATGGGATGCATTGAATGTGTGTAAGGGGTGCATTGAGTGTGTGTAATGAATGCATTGTGTGTTTCTGTGTGTGTGATGCATTGGTGATGCATTGTGTGTAACATGTGTTTTCTCTCTCTGTGCAAGGGGTGCATTGTGTGTATGTGATGAATGTCAATCTCTCCTCCAGCTCCAATTTCCTTCTCCTCCTCCCAATTTCTCTTTCTCACCCCCTCCTAATTTCTCTTTCCCCCCTCCTAATATCTCTTCCCCCCTCCTAATTTCAATTTCTCTCCCCCCTCCTAATTTCTCTTTCTCACCCCCTAATTTCAATTTCTCTCCCCCCCCTCCTAATTTCTCTTTCTCACCCCCCTTTCTCTTTCTCACCCCCCC